CCCACACTATAATTACTACTAGTAAGGGGTCACTGGTACCCTACACTATGACTATACTAGTACAGTGATTACTAGTATCCCACACTATAATTCTACTAGTAGAGGGGGTCACTGGTACCTCTACACTATGACTATACAAGTACAGTGACTACTAGTACTCCCACACTATAATTCTACTAGTAGAGGGGGTCACTGGTACCCCTACACATTGACTATACAAGTACAGTGAGTACTAGTACTCCCACACTATAATTCTACTAGTAAAGGGGGTCACTGGTACCCCTACACTATGACTATACAAGTACAGTGAGTACTAGTACTCCCACACTATAATTCTACTAGTAGAGGGGGTCACTGGTACCCCTACACTATGACTATACTAGTACAGTGATTACTAGTACCCCTATACTATGATTATACTAATAAGGTGACCACTAGTTCTCCCATGCTGTTACTATACTAGTACAGTGATCACTAGTTCTCCCACACTATAATTATAATAGTACAGTGGTTACTAGTACCCAACACTATGATTATATTAGTACAGTGGTCACTACTACCCCACACTATGACTATATTAGTACAGTGGTCACTACTACCCCGATACTATAACTATACTAGTACAGTAATTAGTAGTTCTCCCACACAATGTTATGCAGTTTTAAATTTGCCTTTCCGACAACGTTACTGAACATTAGTTATGCGTTATGAAGTGGTATTAATAGCAGCACAAAACAATGATTTCTGTTTTGTTGATAAGTCATTGTAAATTATATAATCGTATTCTTTAAGGAAGAGAATCTATTGACACACAAAGAATATATGTGATAAAAATAAAAGTAAAGAGGGGAAAAAAAACAATAATTATTATAATAATCACGGCACACTCGAGATGAACGTGTACCATAAAAATATTTCAAATGAGTTTAGTTCTTTGTTGAAACAAAAACTGTTTTCGGGAAATAAATAAATCAACACGATGAACTAAAAGACAAAAACAAAAGTTCTAATTTTCTCCCACACACTTTTTCATCATTGTTTTTTTAATAGTTTCTAAAGGGACTGAGTATAGCAATCAAAATCTTCATAACAATGAAAAAAAAAATTCATCTTTAGAATATCTTGTTAAGGTAAACGCCCTCTTCTTAATCAGCCCATATGTTTAACATGACTTAACGATTCAAGCTTCTCCTGACAGCATAGTTGTGTTTCGCGTTTCTCCTAGAAAATTGTTACTCTCGTACTGCGCTTGAAAAATAGTTTCATCGCTAAACTTCTACCTCGTGCTTTGCATCCTCTCGTTTTCCACCAATACTGTAATACGTAGTAAGGATGGAGGCTGGTAATTGACAGACATAACGCTAGAGATGGGCGGGAACAAGTAAGTTGTCCCGTGCTCGACGACACGCGCACTGGAAGAGGAGGTTGGGGATCACCAGAATTCAGTAAACTCAGAAGGAAGCATAACGTGCTTCCAAAAATTACTTAATGAACACATATCCCGAATTCATACTCGAGTGATCCTCTGTTCGTTGATTTTTTAACAGCCAATTCGGCATTTTAAGGTAAGATTATCTCTGTCTTTTTTTTACTATATATTTTTAGTAAATTTCTCTCATTACTATAGATATATGCAATATAATTTATCAAAATTATATTGTTTCGAAACATATGTTGTTGTGTTTTTAAATCTATAATCATGTTGTATAAGGCTGTTTTTGGAGTGCTATTGCTACTTTATAATCATATTGTATAAGGCTGTTTTTGGAGTGCTTTTGCAAATTTGTAATCACGTTGTATAAGGCTATATTTGAAAACAGCCTTAGACAAAGTGACTATAAAGTTGCAATAGCGCTCCGGAGCGCTGTTGCTACTTTATCATCATATTGTACGAGGTTGTTTTTGGATGTTAAATTTTAGTATAAGATGTAACGCAAGATTTGTGTTTGGATAGAAACGTTTTTATTTGCTACCGTGAACTGATATTAACAATTAGTTTAAAATTATATGACAGAATCGTGCACTTAAAAATATTGACCTAGTTTTCACGTGAACTGTATCTCAGTTTGGTGGCTTTAAATCTTGTAGCAAAACATAACTAACTCTTACACCCGAACAGCTTACATGTGAACAAATACTAAATGTACTATATATATAACATACAAGTCAGAGTACTGTGACGCTTACATGACACAAGTCATCGTACAACTCACAGACAACTCAGAGTATTGTACAACTTACACAAGACAAGTCAAGTTACTATACAACTCAAAGACAAATCAGAGTATTGTACAACTTACATGAGAGAAGTCAAATTACTGTACAACTCAAAGACAAGTCAAGTTACTGTACAACTCAAAGACAAGTCAAAGCACTTTACAGTTTGCAGATAAGTCGGATTATTGCAGAGCTTACACATAGTCGAGTCAAATAAAAAATTTACAGACAAGTCGAATTAATGTATAGCTTACTAACAGGTTGGATTACTGTACAGCTTACTAATAAGTTGGGTCACTGTACAGCTTACTAACAAGTTGGATCACTGTACAGCTTACTAACAAGTTGAATTACTGTACGGCGTACTAACAAGTTGGATTAGTGTACAGCCTACCAACAAGTTGAATTACTGTACGGCGTACTAACAAGTTGGGTTACTGTACAGCTTAATAACAAATTCGATTATTATAAAGCTTAATAACAAGTTGGATTACTGTACAGCTTAATAACAAGTTGGATTATTATAAAGCTTAATTACAAGTTGGATTACTGTACAGCTTAATAACAAGTTGGAGTACTGTACAGCCTACTAGCAAGTTGGATTATTATAAAGTTTACTAACAGGTTGGATCACTGTACAGCTTACTAACAAGTTGGATCACTGTACAGCTTACTAACAAGTTGGATTATTATAAAGCTTAATAACAAGTTGGATTACTGTACAGTCTACTAACAAGTTGGATTACTGTACAGCGTACTAACAAGATGGATTACTGTACAGCCTACTAACAAGTTAGATTACTGTGCAGCTTACTAACAAGTTGGATTATTATAAAGCTTACTAACAAGTTGGATTATTATAAAGCTTAATAACAAGTTGGATTCCTGTACAGCATAATAATTTCTTATCCAATTCGAACACCCGACTTTGCTTAGCTGGTAGTTACTCTAACCGTCTGACTTTTAACCCCAAATATCAGTTCTCACCTTAACAGTTTTAAATAATTTACGTTCCATATATACTACATTATACATCTAATAAGTGCAGAAGTTTTTAAAGTAAACACAATAAATTATAGTTAATTCAGATGTAGACCAGCTGACAAAGTGTACATTTATGAAAAGTATGTAAATGCGATATTCGTGATACTTGGAGAGGTTTTAAGGTAAAAACCGATATCAGATAGCATCTTGCTAGAAAGTAGACAGGTTAGCGAGCCGTGTATTTTTTATCAGAAAGATCAGTAACACTAAGGGAACTATTGTCCTATTAACTTTAAATAATTTTCTCTCATTCGTACATACGTTTATCAGAATTTATCTTTCAAAACACACGATTTTTTCTAAATATCAATGATCGCTGTTTTGGGAGAGCTATTGCAACTTTTTAATAATTTAGTATAAGGTTGTTTTTGGTGCGATATGGCAACTCTATAATAACTTAGTGTAAGTCTGTTTTGGAAGCGCTATTACAAATCTATAGTAACGTCGTATAAAGCTATTTTGGAAGCACTATTGCAACTCTATAGCAACGTCGTATCAAGCTGTTTAGGAAGCGCTATTGCAACTCTATAATCACGTTGTATAAGGCTGTTTTGAAAGCACTATTGCAACTCTATAATCACGTTGTATAAGGCTGTTTTAGAACGCTATTGCAACTCTATACACGTTGTATAAGGCTGTTTTGGGAACGCTATTGCAACTCTATAATAACGTCGTATAAGGCTGTTTTGGAAGCACTATTGCAACTCTATAATCACGTTGTATAAGGCTGTTTTGGGAACGCTATTGCAACTCTATAATCACGTTGTATAAGGCTGTTTTGGGAACGCTATTGCAACTCTATAATAACGTCGTATAAGGCTGTTTTGGGAGCGCTATTGCAACTCTATAATAACGTTGTATAAGGCTGTTTTCGAAGCGCTATTGCAACTCTATAATCACGTTGTATAAGGCTGTTTTAGAAGCGCTGTCACTACTTTATAATAACGTTGTATAAGACTGTTTTGAAAGCACTATTGCAACTTTATAACCACGTTGTATAACGCTGTTTTGGAAGCACTATTGCAACTCTATAGTAACGTCGTATAAGGCTGTTTTGGGAACGATATTTTATCTTTATAATCACGTTGTATAAGACTGTTTTGGATTGTTTGTAATTAAACACAAAGCTACACAATGGGCTATCTGTGCTCTGCCCACCATATCGAAACCCGGATTCTAGCGTTGTAAGTCCGCAGACATACCGCTGTGCCACTGGGGGACGGTTGTTTTGGAAGCACTATTGCAGCTTTATAATAATGTCGTATAAGGCTGTTTTTGGAACGATTCTTCAGCTTTAAAATAGCATTATATAAGGCTGTTTTGAGAACGATATTGCAACTTCATATTTTTCTATTATCCTTTCATAATACTCGTAATATTTGCAGTTATACAACTTTCTGCAAACTTTTTTACTCTATCAGAATCCGATCGGTAAGGTCTTGTTTTTTGGTTTTACTACATTTGTAGAAAAGAACACAGTAACTTCTCTCATCTGTTGTCCTCTTACATCACCCCATTTTTACACTTGTAATAAGTTAAAACTCAGTAAATTAGATGTCAGTAACGCTCAGAGAGAATGCATCGGAAGGATTTCATTTTTAGTAAGCACCTTTATATACAAGAGAAGAACGTTATTTTACAATATTGGTGGCTTTTAGCACGTATCATAAAGTCCATTATCCACCAGTTAGATCTGCTTTCTTCAGGATGGGACGTTGATTTTTATTTTTTTCTCACATCAGTTTCTTATTATTACGTACAAAAATTATGTCCGGATCCCTTCATTAATTCAAAAAAATTGAAATAAATTTGAGTACTTACATTTATAGTCACGAGTGTTATTTTATCCAGTACTAAAACCGATGTTATAAGATAAGGATTAAACTTCCCGTGCTTAATAATGAAGCTTAATGATTGAAATAGTGCCCAGATATAAATATCTAATTTTACAATCTGTTTTCATGAACTAGCACACGAAAGTCATCAATATTACGTATTCTTATATTTTAATTCAATTTTTATTCTAATTCATTGTAGCCACCGGTTATCACATCACTTGTATATGAAGCAATGACATAAATATTTTTATCTACTAGAAAACCGTTTGTTGTTAAATCCCAAAGCTGAGTAATGGGCTATCTGTGCTCTGCCCACCACAAAGATCAAGCCCCGAATTTTAGCATTATAAACCCTTAAATCTACCGCAGAGCCGCTGGGAGACTAATAGTTTATTTATTCATAGCTAATCAAAAAGCTACACAATGGGCTATCTATATTCTGCCTACCGCAAAGATCAAGCCCCGAATTTTAGCATTATAAACCCTTAAGTTTACCTCTGAACCATTGGGAGATTATTATAAGAACAGATTATTAACTTTATTCTTTTGAGATCGACCAAGTTTACATGAAAACACTACTCATATAAATGAGGTTATATCAAATTATTTCAGATACTTTTAAAACACGCCAATAATTCCGCTTTAGCATTTAGTAAAACATAAGTCGCATATAGGTATAACAGAACAAGCCCAAACTTGATTTTCACACTTGTATAATATGCATAATATAAGCGCATTTCTCAATTTGTTTCCTTTAGTAAAACCATTTTAAAGTACTGTAGATATAACAGAAAACAAAACTTTTAATACTTCACATATTCAAACGTATTTCAAACTTACTTTTTCACATGATAAAAACTTTCAAAAAGTTACTACAACTTTAATAAAATCAGACTACAACTTTTTCACACATCAAGATCATATACACAAAACAAAACCGATGCGTTTTCATAAATTAACTCCCGAATTACCGATATGGACCCCATCGGCATTTTTAACGCATTATTCTAAACTATTTATGTATTAACTTGCTTTTGGGTCCATGATTTTATTAGTTGAAGGATACCTAACAATATATAAGTTTTACACAAAAAAATGAGTGACTTCAAACAAGTTTTTCTCGGTTCTTGAAATGGAGTGTTTTAGTAATCGAAAACACAAAATTTGCCAATATCATGCAGTATATAGACACCTATCGGTAGTGAACGGTTACAAAAACCAAGTCGGAAAGTTGAGCGTTAAAAATTATAATTCACGAAAATATTCACTCCCCACACGTTAAAAGTAATTAAAACTTTTGGAAAACCAGACTACAACTTCTATTTTCCAAACCTTACATATTCACACATTGAAGTACATTACGAACTGAGCGCGGCCCAGCGGTTAGCATACCGGCCTACAGAGCCGAGATATCGTTGGTTTGTATTAACTAAAAAAGTCGAGGTGTTGTTTGGTTTTGTATGAAG